CAACAAAAATCGAATAACTCAAAAACAAAACAAAATTTTGTTCTTAAAAAATCATTTTTTTATATTACTTTAATTTATATTAATTATTATTTTTTGGAAACAAATGATTTAAAGAAAAACCGCTTAGTTCAATACTTTATATTCACCCAGTATAAAACGAATTTAAAAAGAAAACTCTCAGCAGGGAACTAATTTTTTGAGTTTGGCTTACGAATTCCTGGTTGTTTTCTCTTTAAAATATTTTGTAATCGGATTATTTTTCTAAAACTGTCCAATTTTTAACTTGAACTGAAATCTTTAATCGTAAATTAGTGATTTGAAGAAAATATGCAAAAATATGCAATATTTCCTAAAATATGCACCAAGTTGCCAAAATATGCATTTTTTAGCTTATTTTAATTAAAAAACATTAGATATGCATAGAAAACTTACAATTTTCTTGATATACCTCTTAATGACAAATATGCATCTTGCATATAATCCGAGCCTTAATCATTAGTTTTCTTAATTTGTTCGGGTTCAAGCCCTCAATTTTTCAAATTCATCGTATGCGATAATAGTATATTACATCACAACTGGGTTATATTACCCAAGATGCGTAGCATCGAGGGCAATAATAAATGCAAGGCTTTAAAATTCTCTCTCCCGTGTTTTATARAATATTTTTTTAATACTAGCACATGTAATACTCAGAAATACGACGGTGAGAAATATAACCTCACTTAATGGTCATGTTGAYGTAGTGAGTGAATAAAATAACTCTCCTGTGACTAACCCTGTATAAATCTTAGAAGATAAAATTTGTGTATTACTTTATCTTTTTCGCAAGAAACAAACCAATTAAAATTATCTTATCATAAGATGCACAAATTGTAAAATATTTRGATTTCAAGTTTGTTTTTGTACTCAAATAAGTGTTAGTATTTACTTCTCTAACACAACAGTTCAGTTATTTGGACTTTTTAATTCTTAAAAACACTATACCGCAGAAGTAGTATATAAATTGTTACTTCTGGGCCAGGACATTTGGCGTCTTAAAAAACAAGGCAAAATCTTACAAATTTAGCTGTTTGCCCAAAAGCAAATAACCGAAGAGGGCCTAAAACCTCTCAAAAATCATTAATTTTTATCCACCCCAAAAGTTCCCAAATATGTGTAGGCCACCAAAAATTGGGCACACGAAAAACAGGGTAGAATCCTACAAATTTACTGTTTTCCCAAAAGTAACCATCCGAAAAAGATGTAWAAAACTTACAAAATGCCTTGATTTTAGACACCCCAAAAATAGCTTTTCCTTTCTGGACCAAGCCAATTGGCGCATGCAAAAATCAATTAAAATTACCTCAAAACRGCTCTAAAACCATTGTCAAATCTCTAGATTTCAGACACCTCAAAACAGCTTTTCATTTCTGGACCAAGCCTATTGGSGCATGGAAAAATCAATGAAAAACAACTTAAAGCGTCTTAAAAAACAAGGCAAAATCTTACAAATTTAGCTGTTTGCCCAAAAGCACACAACCGCAAAGGGCCCAAAACCTCTCAAAAAT